ACCCCCATCTCCCCCACCCCCACATACACCACCCACCTCAATAGATCAGCAAATCTCTGCTCGTAAAATGGCGTAAAAACTGTCGAGAGCAGACGATTAGCTCCAGTCGCCTATGACGTCACATGACGAGACCAGCGCCATCTTATCCAACAGGGCCGTGTGTTTTCCCCTCTCCCCCGGGGTAGGGGTCGGTCGGCAAAAAGTTTTATTGGACCTGTTACAGGTGTTAGACGAGGGTCCCCCAGCAGACGTGAAGGCTGGAGGTGCTAGGGGAGGGGAGGAGGGGGAGTGGGGAGTGGAAGATTTGGTGAAGGCTTTAGTGTTGGGGATGCCGAATGAGGGGGAGTGGGGAAAGGAAGATTTGGTAAAGGCTTTAGTGTTGGGGATGCCGAATAAGGGAAGGGGAGGAGGGGGAGTGGGGAATGCAAGATTTGGTGAAGGCTTTAGTGTTGGGGATGCCGAATGAGGGGAGGAGAGGAGGGGGAGTGGGGCATGGAAGATTTGGTGAAGGCTTTAGTGTTGGGGATGCCGAATGAGGGGGAGTGGGGAAAGGAAGATTTGGTAAAGGCTTTAGTGTTGGGGATGCCGAATAAGGGAAGGGGAGGAGGGGGAGTGGGGAATGCAAGATTTGGTGAAGGCTTTAGTGTTGGGGATGCCGAATGAGGGGAGGGGATGAGGGGGAGTGGGGAATGGAAGATTTGGTGTAGGCTTTAGTGTTGGGGATGCCGAATGAGGGGGAGTGGGGAATGGAAGATTTGGTGAAGGCTTTAGTGTTGGGGATGCCGAATGAGGGGAGGGGATGAGGGGGAGTGGGGAATGGAAGATTTGGTGAAGGCTTTAGTGTTGGGGATGCCGAATGAGGGGGAGTGGGGAAAGGAAGATTTGGTAAAGGCTTTAGTGTTGGGGATGCCGAATAAGGGAAGGGGAGGAGGGGGAGTGGGGAATGCAAGATTTGGTGAAGGCTTTAGTGTTGGGGATGCCGAATGAGGGGAGGAGAGGAGGGGGAGTGGGGCATGGAAGATTTGGTGAAGGCTTTAGTGTTGGGGATGCCGAATGAGGGGGAGTGGGGAAAGGAAGATTTGGTAAAGGCTTTAGTGTTGGGGATGCCGAATAAGGGAAGGGGAGGAGGGGGAGTGGGGAATGCAAGATTTGGTGAAGGCTTTAGTGTTGGGGATGCCGAATGAGGGGAGGGGATGAGGGGGAGTGGGGAATGGAAGATTTGGTGTAGGCTTTAGTGTTGGGGATGCCGAATGAGGGGGAGTGGGGAATGGAAGATTTGGTGAAGGCTTTAGTGTTGGGGATGCCGAATGAGGGGAGGGGATGAGGGGGAGTGGGGAATGGAAGATTTGGTGAAGGCTTTAGTGTTGGTGATGCCGAATGAGGGGAGGGGAGTGGGGAAGGGATGATTTGGTGAACCACTAGCAGACGTGAAGGTGCTTGGTACCGAGGATGCCGTATGGGTATGGGGGACAAGTCTTTGAGGAACAACTTGGCAGATATGAAGCTGTTTGTGATAAAGGTACCATACAGCGGACTTTGTATTTGGAGCCACGGGCGCACAAGTGTGGATTGTTCTAGACGAAACGGAAATGCATGGAACTGGAAGGATGGTACTGGAATACTGGCTTTGATAGCTTAAGGAAAATGATAAGTTGACAATATGAATGAGTAGTACGCAAATATGGTACGGGTTCTGTGCTATTGAAGATTCTGGATATGTTATGATCCCCAAATGTGGTGCGGGTTCTATGGTGTTATGTTATGGTCCACAAATTCGGTACGGGTTCTATGCTGTTATGTTATGGAACCCAAATGTGGTACGGGTTCTATTCTGTTATGTTATGGTCCACAAATGTGGTACGGGTTCTATTCTGTTATGTTATGGTCCACAAATGTGGTACGGGTTCTATTCTGTTATGTTATGGTCCACAAATGTGGTACGGTACGGTCCCCAAATGTGGTACGGGTTCTATGCTGTTATATTATGGTCCTCAAATATGGTACGGGTTCTATGCTGTTATGGTCCCCAAATATGATACGGGTTCTATGCTGTTATGTTATGGTACCCAAATGTGGTACTGGTTCTATGTTGTTATGTTATGGTCCCCAAATGTGGTTCGGGTTCTATGCTGTTATGTTATGGTCCCCAAATTTGGTATGGGTTCTATGCTGTTATGTTATGGTCTCCAAATGTGGTACGGTTTCTATGGTATTGTGGATTCTTGATATGCTATAGGCTGCATACATACCAGAGATCTGCACATGGAAATATAAAACAACAACAACAACAAAAAAACCAACACTTGTTTAGAATGGTAGGTTAAAAACACGCGTAATGCGGGCTGCAAGTCACAATTTTAACATATTAAAAAAAAACATGCGGAAAAAATAAATTAATACTAAACTCCGAAAACTGGTAAATTAATATTTAAAAATTTGCTATTCTATACAGTCTAGATAACAGAATTTATTCATTTTGATAGCTTTGCATTTGATGAACGAGCTTCTTTGATTGCAATTAATCAAGGAAATTCTGTTCTAATAAATGAATAGGTTGTAAATAACGCGCCTACAATATGGGACTGGGAACACCAGCCCTTTACCGTGCAAGGAGAGAAATCGCTTTCTGATGTCATAACCGTTGGTCAGCTCGCCAGTACGGTGCGGCAGGGTCCAATTTGTCGGCGGCCGGGGCTAATTGGACCGACCCGGTTACATCACTAGTCTTGTCGGTTAGCACCTTGCAGAAACAGGTGCCCCCCTTCCTCGCTCTCACCGTCCTGAGAATCAACCCCCCCCCCCCCCCCCCCCCCCCCGAGATCGCCGCCAGCTAAACATCGAGCAAACAACAAAACACTTGTCCGCACATCGTACAGGTACCATAAAGTTTATGACTTGTTGAGGTGGGGGGTGGGGGGGGGGGGATTGAAAGATGGACTCGCTGTCTTCAGTTTCACTTACGCTCGGACCAAATACGTCCAGGATTTTATTTGATTCTGTGTTATGACCAGAGGCGTCTCTGAGATCAAAGCAATACAACATCACCCCTCAAACAAAACATCACCTCTCCATCACAACATCACCTCTCAAACACAACATCACCTCTCAAACACAACATCACCTCTCAAACACAACACCACCTCTCCATCACAACACCACCTCTCCATCACAACGTCCCCTCTCAAACACAACATCACCTCTAAATAATTACGTTCAGCTCACAGCACACAAAGATATTTATCATAGACACGAAACCAACATACACCTTTTACATACACCCATTCAGATTAAATTAAGCATTACATAAATTAAAACGCTTTCCAATTTAAAAAAAAATAATTTAAAAAAATTATAAGTATTTCAACAATTTTCTGACTGTTCGCACTGACACAGTCGGCACAGATTCATATCGTCAAAACAATTTCTACATGTTTTCGGTAACGATAAAAATAAAAACATACGTAAAATGTGAGCAGAAAAAAAGTCACAGAAATAAATTCACCGTTTTTGCAATGAAAAAGTCACAATAAAGTCACTAAAGTAAAAACTTATCGGTAAAAAAGTCACAGAAAAATATGTGCTGTCCCAAGAATTTTTTCCCCCCTACAATTGCATAAAATAGGTTTAGAATTGTTTAAATTTATTTTGGATACCAAGTTTCGTGTTGTGTAAAATGTTTTTTTTTTCTGCCGTAGATTGGAAGCAGGGGCGGAACGACAGTGCCGCCAGACCCCGCAATGCGGGGGGGCCCACGCCATTTAGGGGCCCAAGGCCGACCCTAATAATTTTTATTATAGTTTTTAAAAATCTAATTTTCTTGCAATTTTTTACTTAATGTTTGTTTTGTAAAACGGTTACCATAGCTGCGGCTTGATTAACTTTATTCTATAGACACCATCCCCACTTGTATATTCTTTTTCCCTTTAAACCACTGTGAAAGCCAAGTCCTCTCTCTATCCTACAATTAAACTTAACAAAGATAAGCAAACGTTCAAACCACTTCCATGACTTATTTCCCTTTTTTAAATAGTCAAATTGGGATGCTCATAAGCTCCTTTTAATAGATTTGTACTAAACGAATCACAAAGCAATTATTTATCTTACTAAATATTTTTTCATCAAGAATGACATTGTATAACAAGGAAATGTATTTAAAATTAATAATATAAATACAAAAAAATATAAAAATAATCATAGCACGAGACACCATTACTTCTACAAAGATTTAATGTTTTATATTCTTTTGGCCAGATGAATCTTATATGGATAAAACAAAACTGATTTTCTCAAAACACACTAATGCACTTACACACATGACATAATGTAGTAATTTGTTTTAATTGAAATTTTTTTATTTTTTTCAAAACCCCAACAGGCCAGAAATGAGTGTCCTATACTCTGTTCGTATTTTGTGTATGTAAATAAATAAATAAATAAATAAATAAATATATATATATATATATATATATATATATATATATATATATATATATATATATATATATATATATATATATATATATATATATATGGGGGGGGGCCTAAAAAATTTTTTTTGCGGGGTGGCCCTTTTTTTCTAGTTCCGCCACTGATTGGAAGCAGTTTTTTCTCATGCTCATCGTGTCTCTGCTATTTTGTTTTGATTGGGATCCGGACAAAAGGCCGACATGGACAAAAGGCCGACACGGACAAAAGGCCGACATGGACAAAAGGCCGACAAGACAAAAGGCCGACAAGACAAAAGGCCGACTTCCAAAAGGCCGACATCCAAAAGGCCGACAAGACAAAAGGCCGACAAGACAAAAGGCCGACAGCCAAAAGGCCGACATCCAAAAGGCCGACAAGACAAAAGGCCGACAAGTTTTATTAAACAACAAACTACAATTACAGACATGTTTGATTTTTATTGAAAACCAGTTACATAATAATAAAGGTATATTACAAAATAGAAAAAAAATAGGGCCTAGTATGACAAATTGTAAGCGACGCCACGCAAAAATTCAAGTGTAGTTCTGTTTCCCCTTTCTGCAATTACAGTTGTTATCCTGTCCTCTTTCTGTAAATATTGTTTTTTTCGCTTTTTTGCTGGCTCTCCAAGCCTCTATTTCTACTTCAACTCTACCTTGTTCCTGCTTTAGTTTGTTTAGTAAACAAAATACTCCAGGGTGATCCTTCCCTACAATTACCTGCCACCTCCTGTGCCACCCCTCAACCGTGTTTTGTGTCCTAGGAATCCCATGTACATGATTGTCATGTACAGACCAGAACTCTGGTGGAAAAAGTGGTGGAACCCTCACCTCTCTTGCGTTTAACAACCTCACTCGACCACAAACGTAGGTCTCGTCAAACCACTTTACTAACTCAGCTGTGTTTGGTGGGAAAATGTTTTTTAATTCATTAAATGCTTCCGGAATCTCTGCACTTGGAAGAAATGCAAGTGCTGCTATTTGCCGCATCAGCAGGCAGAACTGTGGATCCTGGCCATAAAGAAGTGCCAAACCCAACGCTTGTAGCTTTCGCCATATATTTTGGCTAAAATGAAAAAAACACCCTTTACTTGTAGCTGTTGGGAATTCAATGCAAGCATTGATTGCAGCTTTTTCAAAGTCAGTGACAATAAACCGTGGAGATAAGTGTATGTGCATTTTTTCTGCGATATCTGCGAGGTCCTGGAAAGCTCGTGTATACATAGCCTCGGTTTTTCGAGACATCAAAATGTAGACAAGCGGTAAAACTCTGCAGTTTTCGTAACCTACTGGGGCATGAATGGAGTAGATTTGTAGGAAAATATTAGGAGCAGTTTTGAAAGTACCATCCATGATCCAATACATAGCCTCACCAAGCTTTTGGATGTTTGATTCAGTAGAAAATATTAGCAACTTGTCATTGTTTATGGAGCTTTCCTTTAACAGAAACAAAGCTCCTGACTGTGTCAACCTCAGGTCATCTGGAATAGCCACATCTTCTAATGTATGTGGCTCTACTGGATGGTTTTTATTTTGAGTCCTTTTAATTCGCTTTGTTAATGCCTGCTTTGATGGCATATCAACCCTTGTTACCATGCTCATGTCAGATGTTGAAGCCTCTACCATTTGAGTTGGTAATTCTTGACTAATGGCAGCAATGGTCTTTAGCTGTGTCAATTTTTCACGAACGACGACGTCACTGGCTTGTGGTGCATGGTTGTGTGCACTACATTTTCTCAATGTGTGGGAACCATTTAAGAAAATCGTGCTAGCTCGAGCTTTGCAGAGAGTATCTGCCGTTTCACGAGCAGCTAAATGCTGGCGTTGGCTACATTCCCAGTAAAAGAGGTCTCCTCTTTGTCTGTTTTTTGTTAAGACAAATCCATCAACAACAAGCATTTGTTTTCCCTTCTGTGACTCAATCACTTTACATTCCATTGTATCTAAAATATATAATTATATACGACTGTTTAAGTTTCTCATAAATATTCTTAGGTACATGTAACTGTTCATACCAATACCCCAGAGAATTTTAACAAGGAATGTTATAAGCTGTTGCTAATGTAGTAAAGGGCATCACTACCAATTGATTTCAGTTTAATAAAAGTTTCGTGACTAGACTGCACTGTATTTACTTTGTTACATTTTGTCTTACGTCATGCGTCAACTTGCCCCACCTACCCCGACTCACCTTCAAAATATAACATATTTTGTGTTTATTCAACATGTAGGCATACTAAATTGTATTTTGTTTATTAATATCAAATGTAGTGTTTCTTTTTAACAAACAAACAAAAAAAACTTACCAATATCAGCACACTTGTATCACAATCACAACAGAATTATTGAATCCAACGAATATAGTATACACTTTTTTCACTTTCACGCAATTCGCAATGGACGAAACTAAAATATAATTCAAAGTTTGTCGGTATTTAACATGTAGTCCAGTAAAGGCACGTGATCGTTCTACTTCATTCGGTTTCTTTGATTTCTTTACAAAATATGGTAGTGACACCACTTTTCTGGCTATCCTTTGTACACTCCCGTCCTCTCCAGACGCATGGACCCCATTGTTCACCTTATAAGGATCGCATCTAGCATTGTCTCTTGGCGTTCCACCATGTTACATGTGGGCGATGATGCGACGGCTTGTGACTTGGTTCTTTGATGATTGTCTCACCTCGTTGTCATAGAAGGAGCAATAAAAGACAGTAGTGACCGCATTTCGCAATATTTAGTTGTTGATTCTTTGTGTTTAAGACACTCCCGTAATCTTCAATCGCTTGGAGCCGATGGTTCACCTTATAAGGATAGCAACTAGCATCGTCTCCTCTCTTGAATGTTTCACCTTATTTCATGCCTTTTTTCGATAGTTGTCAAGATAGCAGCTATGCAGTAACATATATTTTGCGAAATTAGTATTTTTTATGCTTGTCGGCCTTATGGCTGTCGGCCTTATGTCCTGTCGGCCTTATGTCCTGTCGGCCTTTTGGCTGTCTGCCTTATGGCTGTCGGCCTTATGTCCTGTCGGCCTTATGTCCTGTCGGCCTTTTGGCTGTCTGCCTTATGGCTGTCGGCCTTATGTCCTGTCGGCCTTATGTCCTGTCGGCCTTTTGGCTGTCGGCCTTTTGTCCATGTCGGCCTTTTGTCCGTGTCGGCCTTTTGTCTTGTCGGCCTTTTGGATGTCGGCCTTTTGTCCTACACCCGTTTTGATTAGATGTTTCATGGGTTTCATGGGTTTCGTGGGCTTCATGGGTTTCATGGGCTTCATGGGTTTCATCAAGTTTCATGGGTTTCATGGGTTTCGTGGGTTTCGTGGGCTTCATGGGTTTCAAGGGCTTCATGGGTTTCATCAAGTTTCATGGGTTTCATGGGTTTCGTGGGTTTCGTGGGCTTCATGGGTTTCATCAAGTTTCATGGGTTTCATGGGTTTCATGGGTTTCGTGGGTTTCATCAAGTTTCATGGGTTTCATGGGTTTCATGGGTTTCGTGGGTTTCATCAAGTTTCATGGGTTTCAATCTCACTGGACTTGATTAAGTTTTTTTTTTTTCAAATTCCAATTGGGATAAATATTGTGTGCAGACGTTTACTTTCAAGGTTTTCTTTTTTTGTGTGTGTACATTTTACCGGGGACAACATAAGTATCATGAAATATAGTTGTCCTTATTTTTTTCTCTGTTTAATGAAGGTTTTTTGTATTCTCACTACACAAACACACATATACACACATTCAGAAATAGACTACACATCACACACATACAGTAACCAAATACTTAACACATTATCGTACACATACATACAGCTAATACTTAACACACAAGGAAACACTCACAGAAACCAAATACTTAACATACAGAAACCAACTAAACAGCATACGTATACATAAACGTTTAATAAATATCACTAATACTAATTACACTAATTACCAGCAAGCAGACGGTAGCTATAGCATACATTATGTAAACAATTTCTTCCGTGAATTTTATTTCCTGTGACTTTGTCCCGTGTCTTTATTTCATGTGACTTATTTCCCAGGCTTCGCTATGTAGATGAACGTAGAACTAAATAACACGAACCAGCAAACAGAATTCTTTTCAGTGGAACTCAAATACTTATTGTGTTTGTGTGTGTTTGTGTGAGTGATTTGCTTAGAATCCAATTGCTACCACAAACATGAGACCACGTGACACGACTTGTCAAAAAGGTGACAAGTTCTCCACTATTTGCTTCCTTAATCTCTAACCCATAATCGGCCTTGATCGCCGGCATTGAACCGGTCTCTATACTGCAGAGGCGTAGCGACCCTTCCCGGCGCCCGGGGACATACTTTCAATTTGGCGCCCCCCTCGGGAGCAAATTTTCGATTTGCACCCCCCCCTCGAACTTTTCATTTGCACCCCCCCCTCGAACTTTCGATTTGCACCCCCCCCTCGAACTTTTCATTTGCACCCCCCCCTCGAACTTTCGATTTGCACCCCCCCCTCGAACTTTTCATTTGCACCCCCCCCTCAAACTTTCAATTTGGCGCCCCCCCTAAGGTCGGCGCCCGGGGACATATGTCCCCCCCCGCCCCCCCCTCGCTACGCCTCTGCTATACTGTATTGACAGGCCGATCGTTCGCAGACTCAAGTGCAGGCAAGTCGGTTCTCCGCCCGGCTTAGTTGTTGTGTTTTCCCTCCGAAGGTTTTGAACCAGAGCGGCGTAGGTCGCGGCGCTGGCGGTGTGTGTATGGCGAAACACTGGTACTTGAGGCCGCTGAACAAGTGTAACAGGTGGGTGTGAAGGCGGGGTGGACGGAACCGGTCATTTACCTGGCGGGGGGAGTCAATGATTGAAACATAGCAGACGACAATGATCGGTGTCTCGAGTGGTGTGGTCAGTTGGTGGACAATAGGGCGGGGGTCATCAATGGGGATGGGGGGTTGTAGGTGGCGGAGTGGAGTGGTCGGTAGGGTGGATGGTAGGGTGGATGGTAGGGTGGATGGTAGGGTGGATGGTAAGATGAATGGTAGGGTGGATGGTAAGGTGAATGGTAGGGTGGATGGTAGGGTGGATGGTAGGGTGGATTGGATGGTTGATGGTAGAGTGGATTTGGATGGTAAGGTGAATGGTAGGGTGGATGGTAGGGTGAATGGTAGGGTGGATGGTAGGGTGGATGTTTGGGTGGGTGGTAGGTTGGGTTGGATGGTTAATGGTACGGTGGATGGTAGGGTGGTTTGGAACGTTGATGGTAGGGTGGATGCTTTGGTGGATGCTTGGGTGGGTGGTAGGGGATGGTAAAGCAGATTGTAGAGTGAATGAAAGAGTGGATGTTGGTGTGGATGGTGGGGGATGGTAGAGTGGATGGTGCGGTGGGTGATATAGTGTGTTGGGTCTCTGTGAGTGCTCACCCGAAAAAGATTCTATGATAAAGTCGGAGGTTGTAGGTTTCTTTTTTAAACAAAAGGGGAGGGGGAGGAGGAGTGGGTGTCAGTGATCTATTATAATGCATTAATTGCTATTCTTTGTAAAACTACAATGGAATACTAGTCAATATTAGTTAAGTTAATTAAATTTTAAAAAAATTATGTCTGCGATACCTTGTTAAAGTATCGAATATTGCGTTAAATATTTTCAATAAACAGCGATTAGAGTGTAGGGCAGGATTAATTGGTATGTGTGTTCTCGTTTTCAGGTGTGTTTCTTTTCCTGTCAGTGTTAATGTCAATGGGCTGTTTTTGGTTAGTATTCATGAGGATCAATAGCTGGGGATAGACACCCATCTAGGAGAGAAAACTTCAAAATATAACAAGATTGTTCTTGGAAGCGAATCTAGAAAGAAAAGCAGACTGAAGTAGGAGTTAACGTGTCCTATGGCACATAACGTGTTGACTCGTAATACTTAATTAAGAACGAAGAAGAAGTAGAAGGTTAAGTATATGGTAACAACAGAAACATTAATACCTATCGTTTTGTTGACGTTTTATTAAGAGTTAGAGTAGATATGACGAGGATTATAGTAAGGGTTACTATTGAGTTGGTTACTTTCTTAGACGAAACTGACTCAATTTGTGTTTTAATCTTAAGGTAAAGATAACAAATTATGCGTTTAAAAAAAGTCAAAGCTGATATTCATAATTAAAAACTAATGTTGACTTTATTAACAAAAATATAATTATAGTATTAATAATTGAAAAAAAAATCGATTCTATGGAGTCGGGCCCCGGACCGTTACCATGGAGATCGATACGTTTGTATGTTAAATAAAAGTGACACGCTGACAGGGCGAGGGAACGAGTCCTGTTTGCTCACAAAATTAAAAAAAAAAAAAGCCGCTCGGAAAACAAATTAAATTAGCTGGGGAATAAAAACCCTAACCAAATAAAATATCGATTGGCTTGTTTGGTCTGTGCAGCTCGCGGGATCGATACCGCCCAGCCATAATCGTCCCCGTCACACACCCGGGCATGTTCAGCAGACGCTGGCCGCTACGTAATCGAACGGGAGAAATCGATGGACAGGACATTACAGTATCGTATCGGCCATCTTGTGTTGGTATCGCTTTGACTAAATTATAAACAATTAGGGTTTTGATTTTGATTATCAAACTTAATACTAACTCATACTATCTAATAAGATTAGGGTCAGGAATATTAGGCTAGAATTAGAGCCAAGTATAGGATTATTATTATTAGGAAGATTAGGTTAGTTATTATTAGCAAACAGACAGCATCGAATACGGCATGTTGACGATTTAATAAGTACCTAATCGATAGATCAATGCATGATAAACAGAATGGTTTGAGATAAGGTGGGGGGGGGGGGGAGAAACTTGGAAAAAGACTGACCACGGGATGGGAGGTGTGAGAGGGGGGGGGACGGTTTCTGTCTTCTCGTCAATTTCCTCGAGCAACCGCCAACCCACCGCCCTGGCCAATCATTCGCACGTTAACATCCAATGAGCGCGCGCGGGCGATGGGCTAGGCTCCGCCTCTTTTTTTCTTCTCGTGCAGGTGATAGGTTGATGAATTTAACGAGCGGATGGCGAGTGGGGATTTATGCTTGGTCGCTGTGTCGGGCTGGTAAATAGATGCGAGTCTGTGTAGAGGAAGGTTTCACACTGTTCCACCCGTCCTGAATTAGAAGTGGATTTTTATTTTTATTTCCAAATTTCATCGAATTGAAGTCGAGATTTTTTTTTTGTTTAAAAAAAAGTGATCGTCTGCTACCTCGCAGTTCTCCCACAGACGCGTACGACACTGGTGGTTCGCGGTCTTGTGGCGAGTCGACCTCAATGTTAGATTCAACGATCAAGTGCGAGTTCTCCGGCCGTAGCGACGGGAATCACAACACAATGGCGACTCTACCGTCCATGGACATCAACCATCTGCTCAGCGCCGTAGATCAGGATTTACATCAGCACCAACAGCAACAACAACAGCAGCAGCAGAACGACAACAAACACGGCGACAACCCGGAGAGGCACCTCAATGTTGTGCTCGAGGATCGCGAGTTATGGGAGAAGTTTAAGGAGTTCACGAATGAGATGATCGTCACCAAAAATGGAAGGTCGGTTCTTTTTTTTTTTGGGTCGTTATAAACATTGATTTTAACCTACAAGTGGTACTACTAGTACTACTATAACTATCAGTAATCACTAAAAAATAATCACAAAAAAGTCTGTTCTCTTTTGTTTCGTTCGTCTAGTATAAACATTGATTTTTACCTAATAGTAGTACTACTATAACTATCAATTAGTATCAATACTCACTGAAATGATCCGTCACCAAAAATGGAAAGTCGGTTCTCTTTTTTTTTGGTCGTTATAAACATTGTTTTTATCCTACTAGTAGAACTACTTTTATTATCAATAATCACTTATGAAATGATCGCCACATTCAAACACAAGTTCGGTTCTCTTTTTCTTCGTTATAAACATTGGTTTTAATTTAACTTACTTGATTCTAGTAGTAAAACATTACTATCATCGATCACTAATGAATAATGATCGTCACTAAAAACGCAATGTCGGCTCTCTTTTTGTTCGTTATGAACACTGGTTTTAACCTACTAGTAGTACTACTATTACTATCAGTAATAGTCGACTCAGTTCCGAACATTAGACTAAAATAGTACTACTATTACTATCAGTAATAGTTGACTTAATTCCGGACTATTAGACTAAAATAGTACTACTATAACTATCATTAAAAGTCTACTTAATTCCAAACATTAGAATACTAACGTACCATCGGTTAAGGCTGACTGTAGGAGAGCATCTAAAACATACAGCACAACAGTGCTTACATCAGTTCTAGCAATCAGATGACCATACTTCAATTAATGATGAAATAAAAATGTTAATTTAATCATCTTTGTCGTTTAGGCACACAGTGAACTAGTAATACTTTAGTTCATTATCTGTACATTACAGAAATTCTCATTAGTAATGCTAATTAGTTTTTAAAGAAAAGTATTTCCAAGTAAAATACGGCTGCTAGATTTACTAAACGAAATAGATACTGTTCATACATGTTGCAAACAAAATATGTAAATTCTTAGATAAATGATCTCTTTATCTTTGAATCTGTACATACATTATCTGTTGTTTTAAATACATTTACCTTTTTGCAATACATTTGTAATTTCACTTAAAAAAATATAACAAATCCTGTACTTAGTTAAGGGACTAAACATCTTATATAATCATAGGTAATCATTTATACCGTAAATATGTGTGTATTAAAAAAATATTTGTATAGAAATATATCTAAATTATTATATACAATAGTACAATTAGCTTGCAATATACAAGATATACAAGATAATAACATTTAATTTTTTACTGTAAATGTATGTATTTTGAAACAATTTTTTATATAAACATGCCGAATAAATTATTATATAACAATTGACATTACTTATGCTGCATAGCCTAAGTGCTGAAAACATTAAATTTTTACTGTACACGAATACACCAATCTGTTTATATGTTTTCATTGAAAAGTATCTATAACTACTGCGGTAAATCTAATTGCGTTGTGTATCAATATACACAAATATAGCTTTACCTGATGTACACTATACGTGGCAATCTATTTTACAATAGATTTATTTAAGTCCATTCACAACGATTTGGTTGTGTACAGCAGTTTTTGTACACCTCTTATCTAGTATAGTTTTATCTGTGTACATGGATATAATTTGTACATATAGAATACACGATTGTACACATAAGTAACTATACTAATTTTGTGTACATACATTGTTTAGTTTGTACTTGTTCTGGAGCAGCCCGAATGTGTACGTTTACATTTAAAATTGTACAAATTAAATAGCGGCACTAAATATGTACATTTATAGAATCACTTTATATTTTCAAGGTATTGGATAATTTTACATATATCTGGTGCGTTTCCACTTTCCACTTAACGTGGCATACAGTGTGTACAGAGATTACATCCGCATTTTGTACACGCTGCTGGTGTAAATGTAGGCCTACACAAGTGTGAAGGATTATACTTTGATACAGAACCTGCCATGTGTCTAGTCTATGATACATTAACATTGGTAAAAAAAATACTGTGTATTGCGGGATGCGTCTATATTTAGATCCATCCAATTCTAGGCCAACACTTGCCGTACATGATCACTGAGCTATTAATCGGATACTAGTGTGTAAACATGACACCGGTGGATACAGATGGATAAACATGACACCAGTGGATATGAGTGGATACATATGGATGCATGGGATCCCACCGCCGCTATGTGCAGCCGCTTACCGCCTACACAAATTAATTAACCCCTGGGCTCCAGTGGCGCGTGCAATCAATCAATGGGCTGATCATGATCAGGTGGTTGAGACCGTGGCACTGGACCAACACGGAGAATGTCAATAATTCACGACGTGCGGTATTGGTGCCGTCACCGCACGGCTGTTGATGTAGTTGGGTTGGTGAAACACCGGTCTCGATGTGTTGGCAGCACAGTCAACACTTGATGGTCATTATTTAGGGGGGGGGGGGGGAGGGGTCGTTTACAAATGGATTTAAATCATAACATTTAGTATAACAATTTTTAAATCGAACGAATCTCGCAGATGTTGTTATTGAAATAGCATTATTAGGGATTAAGATTTACAGAAATAGCACTACTAGGCAAAGTTTGCTAAAATAACTATTAGGCATACTAATTTACTAAAATAATATTAGGTATAAAGATTTCAGCGCCAAGTTCGGCAAAGAATATAGCCTACTCATTATAAAACATCTGGCGAAAACTCTTCAACATTACAAGAACTATATTCTATGTCTACTTTTAGCGCTAAAATAAATTTTAATGTCCAATTTAAAAAAAAAAATCACGAACCACCCCTCCCCAGATACGTCTCTTTTTAGAGTTCAAGCATACACACCTGTTTTGTACAAGATAAACAAATGTTACTGAAACATTCACTGTGCTTGGACTTAACTATTGCACCATTCTTCATTAATCTCAGATATTAATCTTTAGCGTGGGTTCAGATTAGAATAAAAAATAATTAAGTTTTACTAATTAGGCAACAGATTAGCGTTTCAGAATAGCCATAGTAGATTTAAGATACCGACCAGATTAATTAGATCCCAATCACCTGCCGAAATATAAGCTCCTTAAAAGACCTTACGCGACTGAATAAATGTAGATACAAATGTACATACTGTTCTAGCTATCTAGCAACTTCTTGCTAATTACAAAATTAATTTGATAAAAAAAATTAAGAAAAATAAGTACTCAAAATAAAAGAAGTAGAAGAGCTCTCAATATATTATAGAATTTATGTGACGACCAACATAAAAAACGTTGACGACTTCAGAACCTTGTGCCAGATGTTTCGATGTAATAGGGGTTGATATCAAAACTATTTAAGGTAGAGAAAAAAAAATCTGCATTGTTCTATAAAGATAAAAACCATACAAGGGGTGTGTAAGGTAGGGAGGGATTGGGGGTTAAGGCTTATATCAGTGGAGGGTGATGCCCATATAGGGAGAGGGGAAAGGGAGGCGTCCCTTCATTTAACTTTCAGCGCAAACATGAACGTTAAAGATAGGTTTAAATGGGCCGACACAGGCTGGCTGAAATTGGCCAGATGTATATCGGGTAAGCGGATAGCGGAGAGACGTGTATCGGTGAACTCAATGTCGGCTACACATAATGTTGGTAGGACGTAAAACGGGTAAGCGAATGTTGGTCAGACATATATCAGGTAAGGCGTTGTTGGTCAGACGTATCAAGTAAGGGAATGTTGGTTAGATATATATCAAGTAAGGGAATGTTGGTTAGATATATATCAAGTAAGGGAATGTTGGTCAGACATATATCAGGTAAGGCGTTGTTGGTCAGACGTATCAAGTAAGGGAATGTTGGTTAGATATATATCAAGTAAGGGAATGTTGGTTAGATATATATCAAGTAAGGGAATGTTGGTTAGATATATATCAAGTAAGGGAATGTTGGTCAGACATATATCAGGTAAGGCGTTGTTGGTTAGACGTATCAAGTAAGGGAATGTTGGTTAGATATATATCAAGTAAGGGAATGTTGGTCGGACGTAAATCGGGTAAGCTAATGTTGGTCAGACATATCAAGTTAGGGAATGTTGGTTAGACGCTTAGCACATAAGCGGATATCGACCGGGCGTATATCGGGTAAGCGGATATCAGCAGGGCGTATATCAGATAAGCGGATATCGACCGGACGTATATCGGGTAAGCGGATGTAGGGTAGCCGTACATCTGACAACCCATTCTTTGTTAAGTGAAAATGTTTCTCACCGAAAAAAAACCTTGTTCATCTCATTTTAATTCACTCTTGTAATTAATGTAATCCATCCCGTCCCTCCCCCCCCCCCCTACGTCTCATATTCTCCCCCCTCCCCCTCATCAGAGCAGCCACAAAGCCACTAAACTGTCAGCACTAAGGGTCGCCAGACTCGGGCCAGTGTTTCGCCAATCATGGGATGACAAAAGGTGACGCTACTAATTAGCCGGCCCGGCCGCCAGACATGATAGGGTCCGGCCCGTCAGCCCACGGCACGGCCCGTCCCGTCAGGCCATGAGAGGGTCCGTCCCGTCTCGCCTTAACACGATAGGGTCCGGGGGCTTTTGTGCACCCGGAATTTAAAAAAAAATGGGGTAGGGGAGGGGGGAGAATCTGATAACATTGTCCCCCTTGGTAGAGACGCGGCGTCAGTGGTGATTGGGTTGTCATGACGCATAATGTGGGTGGTCTAGCACCTACCTGGGTAAGTCAAATGTTGGGCCAGATGAGGGGAGGGAATCACGTGATCCGGTGTCATCGGGACGGGATGGCTCCTAGATGTGATGACAGGGGGTTGGGGGGGGGGGGGGGGCTGGTCTTTTGATGCTGGATTGTCGTGAGAAAACGATCAGCGGGATGATGTGTTTAGGTGGCTAATTAACAGCCGCCATTAACTGGATCAATGTTAGTTTAAAATTTTCTTTCTTTAAAACGTTACTGTCCCCTCCCTCCTCTCTCAACTCCCCCACCCCAGCCACCGACGTTTAACT